CAAATAAGTTCAATAAATCACTTTATATTTGGTGTTAATAAGAATAGTATATTTCTTCATATAAAGAAAAAGACTTTTCTACAAGGAATGTATCTTTTATTATAATAAATGTTTGCTAACAAAAAAAAATTGAGTCAAGTCAATGTTACATCTTTAAGTATACAATTTCTCTCTTTATTTTTGCAATGGTTAGCACGGATTTTCTTGGCATACATCTCTTCACTTGACACATATTTCTCATGATAAATTAAGACAACACATCCAAAGAAGAGCATGTCCTGAGCTGTCTGGTTGAAATTTCCCACAAAATAAGAAACTAAGAAGTTGTTTATACATTTACCTTAAAAGAAGCAGACTAATTATATTAACTGATTTATTAATATATGAAGTTCTTTGTCCAATTATTAAAAGTACAAAGAGACCAGGGAGCAATTTAAATGTCTAATGTACCCCCAATTTTTTTTAAGATTAATTATAATTCCAAGCAAAGCTACGCTAGATAGGCCCCTTAGGTTTTATGAGGTCTAAATAAAATAATAACAATAACATTACCTCATTGGCCAGCTCCAGGAGCACTGGGGCAGCGCCATTTTTCCCGACTCTGTTCAGGTACCTAGACAAGATAGAGCCAAGTGGTAATACAGTGACAAGAAAAGGCCAGCACAGACTTGCCAGCATCCCCTGTGTGTACATGTTTCTCCTGGGCAAATGCCATGCTCAACTCTAGTTATAGTATGCTATTGTCCTAGGAAGGCACTGAAGGGAAAAAAGGACAACACAAATAGCTTACCTCAAACCACAGACAACTAACTAACCTCAGCTGGGCACAGAGGGTATGAGCATACTGTCTCCATTGTTTTCACCATTTGCAGACATTGAACACGGAGGTGATTTCAAGAAGAACTATCCCTTTCACCCTGACTTTACCTATAACCACAACCATCTCGTGGAAAGAAATAAGTTTACTCTTATGGTTTGAAAAAAGTAGCCATGCACCCATACCACATTTTTATTTACTTCTGTTTCATAGGATTGACTGACACGTTATTAAGAAAAAAACTGGAACAGACTTATCATCAGTGGGTCAGGATAACTTTAATAGGCAATACAAGCCATTATCTTATCTGCCCTGGATTTCTGTCATAATCTCCAGCTCTCCTCATCCCCTAATGCTACTAAAAAGAAACAGAGAAAATGCAAAACTCTCCAAATCCATCCCAAACATGGTAGCCAGAGTGATTTTTTTTAAAAACAAAAATTTGAATGTACCATTCTCCTTAAAACACTTCAAAGGCCCCACATTAAATCTCAAGGTTAAATGATAACCCCTTAACAGATCTTAGAAGATTTTTATCATGTGGTTCCAACTTACTCTACTCGACCAGCGGCATATCTATTCACTGTTCCCCACTCTAACCTTCACCTAGAGAACTCATGATTCAGCTTATATGTCTGCTTCTTCAATTCACCACAAGCCTGGAGTAAGTTAAGTGTCACTCATGTGCAACCAAGGAGCACCAAGTGTACATCTCTCCGTCATTTAACAGAGCATATGGCATCTGTTTCGTCACTTGTCCATCGCAGACCTGTCCCCCACTGTAAGACTGAAAGCCTGATGAGGGGAGAACTGTATGTTATTCAATTTATTACTATGCCTAGCACAGTTCTTGCCTTGTATTAGGTGATTATATTAAATGTATGCTTTTCTTTAATAAATGACGAATTAAAAAATTTTTAAAGCCATGTTGGATAGGAAAATAAAATTAGATATGGACACTTTCTCTACAGTATACTGCTTGAGTGAATAAATTAATGATATTGGTTTGATAATAAAAACTGAAGTCAACAAATGAGGTCTTCCACATAACTGTGAGTAGCAGATACTGAATTACATTATTTCACAAGTCTGCTTATAAAGATGTGTGATTTCCCTATAAACAAAGTAGAATAAAAGCAAATGATTTAAGATGGGGACAGTCTCAGGATCATTAAAATTCAAATAATTCTAACAAGTTCATTTTCCATATATTGGGGCTTCCCTTGAAAAAACTGTTTAGGAATTCTAACTGGGAAATAACTCTTTCAGAAGTAAGAAAAAAAAACAAAGGGGAAAAAAAGTGTAGTTTAGAGAAAGATCCCTGGGAAATAGGCCAGTTAAGAACCGCAGGTCGATGCACAACACTTCCATTGCACTGACAGATCTGCTCAAGGAACAGCCAATCAGTTCAGTCCAGTCAGACCAAGTAATCATGTGTTCAAAACCTCCTAAAGTGCATGTTAAGGGTTCAGATTCTGGGTCAGAGTACTGATATTAGGATATCTTTATTTGTGGGATAAGTGAATGTTGAGTACCTTTTGACTCAACATTCACTTATCCTGCAAATATTCTTGAGAGCTAATTTGGTTTGAAAAAAAGTATCCATGCACCCACACCACTTTTTTATTTACTTCTGTTTCATAGGATTGACTGATACCTTATTAAGTTGTGAACATGGAATAGTGTTGGGCCTTATTCACATTCTGAAACAGCAGCAGGGGACAAAATTCTATGGTTCCTGCCATCACAAAGATTTTATTACACTGGGAAAACAAACAAGGAAAGGACAGAAAAATAAATACGTGATATGATGATATACACTACCATACAATGTAAGCTGGATGGGCTGGTCAAGAAGCCTGTCTCTAAGGAAGTGGCTCGTGAGTCAAGACCTGCGAGAGGGAAGGTGTCAAGCCAGAGGGGAAAGTCCCCGGCGAGAGAAAAGTAAGTGCAAATGTCAGGAACACGCTTGGGGTGTCTGAGGACTGAAGCAGAGCTTATGAGGGCTGATTAGAAACAGTGATAGTAGCTAGACCACAGACCGCTGCCTATGCCAGAGAACTGTTGTTTTGAGTCAGAATGACTTGGCTTCATGTAATCATTGCATCATCAATCATTATCCAGTCCAACACTTCCATTAAGTTAAGAGAAACAGGAGATGGGCAAACAATAATAACCCACTATCCACACAGTCTACATAATATTTAAAGCATTTTTCTAATTAATATAGTATAAATTCCTAATTATGAGTGTGATAAAGCTCCCCCATTGGTCACATAAAGAAACCAAACCTAGGGTACTGCTGAAACCTGCCTGGGCTCTCTCTCAACTGGTAAGCAGTAACGCTCTGAAATGGAACCCTATCCCCCAAGATCTACTGAGATAGGTTCTTATGTGAACAGGGTAGACCTGCTTCTGAATGCCTTTATTTCTCAATTTCGTTTCCCAACCATATCTTATAACACTTTAGAAGTGTTAGGAAAAAGAAATTAAGTCAAAATTGACTTGAGGTTGTATTTGTCCTTTTTGGGAACTTTGTCTCCCATATCAAGCGACTTCAGGCTTATTCAAAATTTTAGATAAGCAATTAAAGGGCCATGATAATTACAGAAAATATTAAGTAAGGACATAATTAGAAATTCCTAATGCTATCCTTCTCTGCATCCTCCAAGCATTTTGTGCAAACTTAATAGCCTAGACTTTTCACACAGTTATAATGATATGTTTCTGTCTCCAACTAGATTGGAAGCTCACTGGGGTAGGGCTATACAAATGAATGTTGAACCTTCATCCAACAGAAGCTGAGCAAAGATCTGAATTATAATTGAGATATAAAAGATGTGATTTTGAACACTACATTAAGGTGACTTGGATTATACTTCTAAAACCTATTTGCAGATTAAAACTGTTTTGCATAGAAGCTGCATGTCATCCTCTACTTTGCCACAAGAGAACTAACAAGTGGGTGAAATCAAACTTAAAACTTCACAGAAGGTCCATTTTATGCTTTTTTGAATGTGAAAGATCCATTAGCATCTAAGATTAAAATAATGTGTATTGATTTTAAATATAAGGCAAATTTATTTGATCTTTAATGCCATCATAGTAACTATAATGGCAAAACTTCAAACACCTACCAAAATTCTATGCTAAGTTTACATCTGTATGCCATCTTTGTTGACTCTACCTCTACAATCTCTGGAGCCCATCTTAATTTATGCAGCTATTTTCCCACTAAACAGAGCAGTTGAGGGTATGTACTGTATACTTGGTTCCTAGCAAAATGGGTGGGACATAATGAGTGCAAAGTAAATTGTGCTAATTAAACAAGACAGTGGTTCAAATTTCCAGAAACTGTTTTTATCATGTAATGTCAATAATATTAATATATTTGAACTAAACTTTTTTCCATGTGAAATTCTGAATTTAATTCAATCGATTTGATTCTCTAAAGCTAATAAAGCTGACCCAGAGACAGTGTGTATTGGGAGAAAGGTGGAAATGGGAGATGATATTTCTAAACTTTGCTATTGATGGGGACTTGCAAATCTGACCAGCTTGCAAATGTTTGTGTATGTGTGCATACATGGCCATGTGCACCAATTTACGTGAATCTAAATACATTTAATCAACTATGCTTCCTATTTGTAAATTAAATGCCACTAGCATGGGGAAAAAATAGAAATTGTTTTCAAAATGAATACTCAAACTATGTCTGTACATACACAACATGAAGAAATGAAAAAATTTCCTCAATAATTCAAAAGCTTGAAAAACATTTTCTGATAATTGAATACACTGAAGTTTCAGTTAACCAAGATGGAATTCAATTGTGGATTATATGGTTTTAAATAAAGACTTTGAATTCTGAACTGAAATCATCTCAGTGCTGCTAGGAATGCAGAGACACAGGAATTCTCTGATATTGCTAGTAGGAAACCATTAAAACATTTCCGGATAGTTATTGGGCAACATATAATAAAATATTTAAATGCTTATTGTTTGCATTAGTAATTACCTATTTAGGAATATTAAGAAACCAATCCAAAATGCAAAGACTTCTGGACCAAAATGTTCATCACAGTATTATTTATAATATTAGAACACAGGAAACAAAAATGTTCAACAGAGGAATAATTTAGTAAATTGAGATACTTTCATGTGATGAAGTAATATAATCAATAAAATGCTTATAAAAAGCTTTCTACAAAATAACATTATGTCATATACATTTCCCCAAGTATAAAATTTAGGATGCAGAATTGCATATATAGTATGACTTCATCTATATAAAAATAGATTGACAAAAGACTAGAATGAAAAAATACCACAGTAGTCATTTCTGGGCACCACAATTATGGGCAATCATTCATTTCTTTTTTATACCATCACAAATGTGCTTTATTTACACAATTGATAAGTATTACTTTTATAACAGAAAAAATTAAAGGGATTGTTAACATTGTCAAACTGCTTACATATTTTTTGATATATTACAATTTGTCTTTATTCCAATCAGCTGGAAAACAAAAATCTTTTAAGACCAATTTACCTTAGAAAACACAGGGACATTGAACATGCACATTCAGAACAAGAGGCCTGTGAGGTCAGCCCAGCCAGGAGGTAACAACGGGGCCCATCTCCAGGCCCGGAGCGCAAGGCACCAAGTCAGCAAGCAAGGAGGCAAAGCAGGAAACCGGTCAGGCTGCTTCCTTGTCAGTCTGCCCATTACAGCCTGACTTCACATTTTTGTTCCAAATGCCATGACTCCTTGAAGTAATTGAGTTTCTCACATTTAAATAAATGTGAAGAAATAGAAATATACTGCGGTATTCTCATTTTTATCCACTCAACTGTTTATCATTGAGTAATCATACTTAAAGAAAAGAGTTTTATTTCTGGCCTGAACTATCCAGATAATCCAATACAGCATGTTCATACTTCAATAACTAAATATAATTTTTAATGAAACTAGGATTTTGAAAAGCAGCACAAAAAGATCTTAGAAATCATCTAATTAAAATGGGCTTTTTACAATGAGGAAAATGATTATCAGAGGGCAGCTCTACGGCCTACTTATGGATATCCAAATTTCTAGGAAATGCTCTATTTTCCTTTGCTATTATGTTAACAAAATTTTAAAATCTGGACATAGAACCATACTTTTACATGATGGCCTAAAACTACATTTCTACAAACAAGAGTGCATTTTGACATGTAAATAGCTTTTCAGTCTTTCTTTGAAGGGTCTGTGTACCAAAGCAGTTGTTGGCTTCATAGCACTTCATGGGTCATTCTTAATTTTCTATGTATGATTTAGGTTATAACTCAAATTTAAATGATGATTTCACTGAGGAGATTATGACTTTTGAATGAATAAATTCAAACTTTACAGAGACTTTTTTAGAGAGGAATCCTCCTAGATATAAATGTCTGTGTTTGTATGTGGCATGTGTGAGTATCTTTCTTAAAGACACTATTACTGAAAACTGAACATATCTTTTATTATATATTTATATAAGTGACTAGTTTCTTAAAAAGTCTCAGCTCAATATCTTTTTTCAATAAACACCTCTTGATTGTTAAAAAAATGACTTTACAGAAACATGATACCAGTATTTTATCTATATATTCACTTTATTCATAAAATTTTTGTGCATAAAAGTCATTCATCTAAAATATGTGGTGTCACTCTCACCATAGAAAGGCTGATCTGTCAATCGTAAAAACAGTAATTTAAGAACATCTTTCAAGCATTTTGCTCTCCAATATGCACTTGAAATATTTAAGAAAACAATTAACACTTTCTAATGGAAACCATTACCATTCACTATTATAAATCATTCATGCTTAATATAAAAACAAGAAAATTTTTGGAACTTTTTAAAAAGAGCTGTCCTAAAGATTCCTATTTGTTTTAGAACAGAGGTTAAAAACTTTTTATGATACATTAGGGTGAAATCAAAATATTTCTGGACACAATATTGTCAATTTAATACCCAGATTTGCTTTTTAAAATATTTAACCCCATTTAAAATATGACAGTTGTACATTATTATATTTCTCCATACATCCTTATTTGATGTCTTTTTTATTTCTAAAATAGCTAGTCCAATACTTATGATGCAAAATACACCTACTCCAAAAATTTAACCTTATTTTCTAATATATTTTCCAACGTGTTTATCTAAATAAAATACAAATGAAAATTGGTTTGAGAACTTTTACACATACATGTAAGATACATGTTTATATGTACATATTCACCTATACAAAGCAGACATTTACAATAAGTTAAAGTAGCCAACTGAGATTTCTAGTATTGTAATGATTTCTTATATAATATGTATGTATGCATTTCAATCAAAACAGTCTCATCATGTTCTTTAAACAAAGCATTTGAGAAATCATTCAAAAACATAGTAAGTCTTAAATAACAGACTTAAAACAAAAATGCCTTGGAATGTTACACAGAAAATTAATTTAGTAATCTAATTTATTCATAATTATTATTACAATTAATAGGTACGATGATACCCTCTAGTGGGACAGGCAGGTCATACCTCTGGTAGTAACTTTCAATTGCTTCCGAAGTATGATGTTTGGCATGTGTTCTTTTAATGTGTTTCTGAAATAAAACAAAAAAGATCTTTGTGGTGTGTCACAGATCAGGTTTAAGAACAAGAATGACATATTTCTTGATCCCACCATCTAGCACATAGGGCAAACTGAGTAATAGCTTGGGGATTTTGGTCGTGGTAGGTCTTTCTCCATTCTACTCTATGAACCTATGCATTTTAATATCTACTGTTTGGCTGGGATGTTGTCAGACTGTACCACAAGGTACAGTATATATGTAAAAGCCAACAGGGTCATAGTAATTTAATCTAAATAAGTTTGCTTAGGGTTGCAGAGGGCAAAGAAAAATTTGTTTCCTCTTTGAACCTTTGTATTAATTTTCCCTCAATTCAATTCCTTCGAAGTCCTCTGCACTCTAGTTTTACAATCCAATTGCCATTTTTAACCAGGAAGAACATTGCTTAAAAACAACTTATTTGAAAACTACAAAAAGTAATTCTATAGAGACTTGCCACTTGACTGACACCTGTCATCTCATGATAAATGACTCCATTTTCTGCCTCTCTTACCTTCTGCCACTCCAGCAATGGTCATTTATCATCATCTCTGTCAGCAATGGAAAGCGGCACTGACAGTGCAAGTCAGCAAACATTTAGCACATGGAACCACGCAACACAGGGAAATTATTATTGTCAGAATAATAATGGTTTAGCATAATTTATTACAGGTCCACCAAATAAGCAAAGGCTAGATGTTATTAGACAGATGGATGGGTAGGCTTGGCAGGCCTCCACTGAGACGCAGGCGGTGCTTGATGTGGAAAGGAGAACATCCTCCAACCCAATCAGAGAGCTGGCAGTTCAATTACAAAGAAATAAAGGGACATTCATCATTCAATTAGGCACCTGTCAACCCTCACAAAGGAGAAAACTTCTAACCTGGTACTCCTGGGAGAAGATGCTCAGCAGAGTGGCCTGCGATTGACTGGAACAAATAAAAGAAGGACAAAGTTAATTACTGGAGTGTACGGCAAAGAAACAAAAGAGGAAAGAGCTTCAAAGGTAGGCCTGCTGCCCTGTAATCTAACAGAACATGAAAACAAGTGCGGAAAAGTTGTTCCAGATGAACACCTCAGACAAAGGCTTCCTGCTGCTAGGTCAAGGAGAGAGAAAAAGGGAAAGGGAAAAATATGAATGTCTCAAAGCAAACTATCGCAGGATTTGGATTTTTTTTAACTTTAGAGTGATTGTAAATCATTTCTGTAGCATAGTTATGTTAAAAGAGACCAAAAGGAGGCAAGGTTTATTTCCATTAATAGGTGATGGAGTTAAATTCCCCAAACAATGGAAAACCTGCATTCATTTATTGGCGACATTCTGATATTTATTTTGTTAGCAGACAGGTATCCTCTTCTGTAGCTTTCTCAGATTCAGGGAAAAAACTTTGGTCTTCACTAGAAATAGCACAGAGACCACTGGAACACTCCTACTGACACTGGCATGCTTTGAAAATAGACGCCTTCACAGCAGGACGCTGAGGTCCTCGGAGTACGTCATTCCCAAAGACTGCCGTAAGCCTTTCTCGTCTAAGACACTACACAATGTCAAACACCTGGCACTGAAGCAACCTGGGAAACATTCTTCCCACGTGGGAATTTTCCTCTCACAACTGTTAACATTTGAAAATGAGACAGAATTTTTTCTCTCTAAAAAGCAATCAATATCCTACTGATACTCTTTTTCACTGCCCTCTGTACCTATTATATCTTGAAAGCAATTAATTAGTTTTGATACATTTTCCTAATAAATGCTATCTGAATGAATTACTGTGTTAACAATTGGACTTTCATAGTACACCAAAGCACTGTGAATAATTAAAATTTTTCTCTTCATGAACGAAACCTCTTAAACTCAACACAGGTAATTTGGAGACTGTAAAATAAACACACAATGAAAATGGGCTCCTCCATCAGCTCTGTCCACGGTTGTAGCTGAACTGAATTTTAAGGACAGTTCCCCAGCTAAAGATATTATGGCATCCTCAGTTCTTACAGTACTCTCAACTCCTGACCAACTTCTCAACTGGAACTATTTATTCCTGGATTTATTTCTCCAACTGTCTCTTGGTCTTTCCATTCTGGGCATCTACAATTACACTTTTGTTTTATTCACAGCTTAGTTCCTCTTCATTAGTCTTTGGGCCCTGACTTACAAGCACATTTATTTCCATCATACTTTTTGGTGCATAGACACTGACATTTTGTCTACCATTAAATGATAACATAAATATATACTGCTGTACCATGAGGGGCTGTCTATTGCACATATCTAACATACTGACTTCTTCATAGTTTATAAATACTTAGGCTTAATTTTGCCATATTTTTTCAGAAGATGATTCTCAGAAACCCTACTAGGGTAATGTGATTTCCATGGGAAGTTCAGGCAAGCCAGACATAGTAGGAAGATTGTTATATATAAAATCGACTCTTTCAAAGGTGGTTTCCATTTTTAAAGAGAAATTGAAAAGACTGGGTTATAACCAATTTATAATTTTATTCAATCATTTCTCAGTACTTTTGAGTTACTGAAACAGTCCTTTAGTAATTACAAGTTTTCCTTGATAAATATTTATCATATTTTTTAACCTATTGTTTTGTAATCTTGTAACAGTGGAATGGCATTAGAAGCCAAATCTATAGTGGTATGCAGAAGATGACAACATTGTGACAGCAAGTAAAGAAAAGAGCATATCAGGGGACCCCTAGAATGTCCTCTGCCTAAGTCGTGTGAGAATGGCTGTATGGAGCAGCAGCAGCCATGTTGTGGCAATGGGAAAACAAACATGAGGACAAGGCCAAAACAGTGGGAACAGCAGGCCACACCTTCAGGACGTTGTTGAGATGCCCAAGGGACAATGAATTGAAGTGACGACCCTCCAAACTTCTCAGTAATAATACATGTCTCTGTTTTTTAACCCACAAAGACAAAAAAATAAAATTGCCAGACTTCTATGTGCCCTGCAAATAGATGTGATTGAGGGAGGAATCTGAGAAAGGGTGCTCCATCATCATGGCACACATACCGACACAATACTTGAAAGCAGTTGTCCCTTTTTATACTTTCTAATTCTCTTTTTAGCTGGCAACTGTTGTATTTGGCTTTCGTAAAATTGTTCCTGCCTGCCACTGTATCACTAAATTGATGTGCCTAGAGATCATAAATTAGTGTATGATTTTTTCATACAAATTGTAAACACTGTTAGGGTACTACTTAGCCTCATTTTATACTGTGCTCAGGATTCTTCAAATGCCAGACAACAAACCAGTTTTCCATACAGTATTTAACTCAGTTTATCCCCAGTCCCATCCAGCAAAGATAATCAGTAACCTGAAGGACATTAGAGAAACGGAACATCAGAGGGTTGGATGGTCCACGTAGACTAAGAGCAGGGCGCAGCACAGACTTGTTTTGCAATGCGACTTTCACACAAGTAAGAAGTCCTCATGTTCCTAGGTGGAGACTTTAAACAAGGAGGCTATTAAGGAAGAAGATCCCACTCATTCTATGTTCTTCCTCTTCTCAAGTACCCAACTCTGAAAAATCCCACAAAGAAGTAAATACCATTATTTACTTTTTAAGCTCCTTCTGCTATAAAATCTAGGCAGCTTAAATGTCTATACTCTATTGGTCTCAAACTTCTCTAAATAAACTGAATATTATTTCAGGGACTAAGGAAGCAGAACCAAGGGAGATAAAGCAGAAAATTCCTACAAAGCATTAGGCTCGGACCTCACAATTATAAGGTACAACCTCTCTAAATCTGTGAAAGAATACAACAGCACCCTGGCTCTATGTGGTTGGCGATTCAGAGCACTAGTAATGGAAGGTTTCTACGAAAGCAATGCATCTGTGCTTTCTCTCCCCCACTCCCCCCCCCACAGCACTACACACAGATTTTAAATTTAGAGTCCTTTCCCCCCGCTATAATTCCAAAATGGAATTCAGTAAAACAGCAAATCTTGATACAACAATATAACTTACCTTACTTTTTTTCAGGAACATAAATGCAGAGAAGAAAGTGCAGAGAATTACTGATATTCTGGGAAATACTGGGGGCAGGGGGAGTGATGATATTTAAACAAAATCCAAGAAATAGAGAACAATTTATTAATCATACTTCCCCCACCCCATTTCCCAATTTCGAGCTTCATATCAAGGATGCATTTTATGCCTACTCATAGTGAATATTCCCACAAATGACTATATAGATGGCAGCATTAAACTTAGTAGTAATCAACTGTGAAAGACATTCTAGAAAGTTATAGTTTTGATATATATATATATGAAAAAAGTGGTTACTATCCCAGGTTCTTAACTACTTTTGCTGGTAAACTGCTGTCACACACAAAGTAGCTGTACAACAAAAGCTGAAATTTACATTAACACTTACTTTGTGCTGAACACTTTATTTTACCCTCACAACAACCTCTGAGGTAGGAACTATTATTTTCCTTATTTTAAAGATGTAAGGAAGAGAAATGAAGGAAGAGAACTAGAATACTCAATTAAAGAGCTAAGTAAGTGATAGAGTTGGGAGTCTAAGTCAAGATTCAATTCCAAAACCCAAACTCTTATTCCCCAATGCTCATTTGCACTTCTAACAGTTCCCAGAAATAGGTTGTGTATATCATGTGTCCTCATACCCCTGCTTGAGCATTTATATGATCTTATATTACATGCCAAACAACCTTGAAAGGCAGGCATTGTTGTTTTTTGATAGCAAATTGAAGCCATAGGATGTCAAGTGTTTTGACCAAATTTCATGGCCTTAGACAATATTCCCCTTTTAAAAAATCAAATCGCAGTCTTCCTTTAATTAGCTACATAAAAATGCTGTTCTTTTTTGTGTTGAAAGAGAAAGGAACTACTGATTTAAAAAACTGTTGGGTAATTTCCATTATTCTGCCTGCAGTTAAGGTATATTTTGCTAATAATCACACCATTGCCTGAAGTGTCTCCATATGATCGCAGATGTGTCCTGTTCAACATGATTTACTGCATATAAAGCAGTTTTAAATCCTTCCCTGAACAACACAGGTAAAAGTAACTCGATCAATTTTTTCTATAGAGAACAATACCTCTACAGGTGTTAATTTTGTTAAATAATATTTAATAAAGTGTTTTCTAGTTATAAAACAGTACATATTCTGTCAAATATCCAGAGATGTCCATTGTCAGCATTCCAGCATATATCCTTTCTGTGGTTGTACTCTTTGGTGTGTGTGTGTGTGTGTGTGTGTGTGTGTGTACATGTGTGTACACACATACCCATTTTAAAAATTGGGTGTTTTAAAATACTTTTACGCAACATGACTTCATTATTAATGTTTATTATTAACTTCATTATTAACTTACTAACAGTAAATTTTATTCATGCCATTATCTATTACTCATTTTAAATTATTTTGATTGTAGACACATTTACAAAAATAGAGCAAATGTGCAACTCAAAGAATTCATAAATAAAAACAAAATCATATAATCACTTAGGTCGACAAATAGAATACTGCTAATATTCCAAAAGGAATCCTACCCAATCATCACTCCTCTCACAAATGAACCCAATCTTTATGGTAACTGCTTTCTTGCTTTTCTTTAGTTTTACCACCCTAACATGTATCCCTAAATTCCACAGGTTAGCTTTGTCTGTGTGTAAACTTTACATTAATAAACCCACACAGTGTGCTCTTTTGTGTCTCATTTATTTCACTCAATATGTCTGTGAGTGTCACTCATGTTAACTTAAGTGCAGGTTGTGCATTTTCATTGTTGTATAGGATATTCTATTGTATAAGTATATGCCACATTTATCTGTCCTACTGTTGATGGACATCTGAACTATTTCCAGTCTTTTGCTAATGACAGAAGTGCTGCTATGAACATTCTGGCATACATTTCTTGGTGTACAAGGGCACACATTTC